CCTATATTTTCTACAAACTTAGTATGTTTGTGTCAGATCTTGTATTAATGCATGTATGTTATTGTTTATTTGACTAAAAGGGTAAAGAGAATGTAGAGAGAATGTAAAGAGCATGTAAAGAGAATGTTTCCAGACAACCCGATGTTGTCTGTAAAAGAGAAAGCTGTCATACCAACCCCCGAGGTTGAGTACCAGTACGAGAATGTTTCCGAGAAATCCAAAAAAAAGAGAATGGTCTTCCGTAAACTTCATAACGTTAATTCCTCTAAGTGAGCCGTCATAACCATACTAAATAATGACAATTTCGTCTGTCTTGGCGTTGTTGGACGCCGGTTTTGATTATAAGGTTTTCGTCACCCTAAACTGAGTTAGTCTAACTGTAGCGAACAGCTCAGGTGTGGGGTGTCATCCCCGTATAGATCTATACACAAATCCCCGCTCTCCCTCCAAGAGACTCTGGTTATAACTAAAGGCTACGATCGAACACTTAATAGGTGTCAACCGATAAAACTCACTAGATCCTTAATCGAATTTACGCGAAGAAAGGTATAATCTCATTCCAGACCCAATGAACCATGTAAGTGAACCACTAAGGCATCGCTAAACATGTAAATCATTTCAAGGCCCAATTGGAATGTGATTATATAACATGGGCCCGAAATATATATGAAAGGACAACTAAGGCCCATTTCACATGTAAGGTATTTACAGGCCCAAATAGCACACAAATAGTATCCAATGTCCGTCGCACATGTTAATGGGTCAATGAGGTCCAATAAACATATAAATAGTATACAGGACCTATCACACATAAAAATGGGCCACTAAGGCCCAAAATAACCTAGAAAATGATCAAATTAATCTGTTTGTTAGTTTATCATTGGTTTTGGTTCAAGTATTCACTAAAATAGCATAAAAGCCCACTTTTTGTAAAAATGACAGTTCTTGGCCCAATAAGCCAAAAATTTACAATTAAAGCCCAATTTTTGTAAGAATAACACTTTAGTCTCCATTTTGTTCAAAACTTGTGTTGATGACTAGTTTGTGGTAAAAATAACATTTTAAACCCATTTTTTTTGTCAAAAATATCATTTTTGGCTTGATTTTTGTGAAAATACACATTTTTCTGGTTTTGGGCTTTTCCGACCTAGTTGTTGGAAAATTTGTAGAAAATTCATCATAAGTCGAAATTTGGATCCGTAAATTCTGGAAGTTTGGAAATTTTGTCTAATTTGTTCACAATTTTTCTCATAATTTTAGTGGCTTCTAACAAGTGTGAAATTGCTCACCTTCACAGGTTGGTCCGAAATTATTTCAAATCTGATAGACAGTTTTGTAAAATTCGCCAAAAATTGTAGAAAAATCGTATGAAAACGTGAGAGTAGTCATTTTAAAGGTAGAAACCTGAACTTTTTGCATGTAAAACAGTTTTGAAAAATATTATCATTTAGGTGGTCAAAACAGTTCGATATTGGACCAAAACTTTCCTGTGAAATGCTGATTTTTGAGTTTAGTTTATAGATCTTGGAACACAACACTCATTTTTACTATTTTAAGTGTATAAATCCCAGATCTACTAGTTTACATGTATTATATGTGATAACACATACTTTTCTCAAGGTTTTCATGTAGATCCAAGTGATAAACTTAATATTCTTAACATACTTCTAGATTTATGAAGTAAACAACACATAACCACCAAATAAATCATGAAAAACACACATATTCATGCATACACACATAGATCTACACAACACAACTTGTATTCTCCCCCAAAACAAAGTAAAAGCCGAAAAACAAGGGGGTATGAACTCACCTTGGAGTTGATGTTTCGGTTTTTAGATGAAGAAAGAGAGAGATTTTGGCCTAGCTTGCTTCTTGAGAGGCTCCTCAAAAATATGATGTTTCTAGTAGTATAAACAAGAGATTTGTGATGTTTTTAGGATGATCTAATCATAAGATGAATTTATCCAACTTGAGAGTGAAGTAACTTACCTAGTATGTGAGTTTGATGAACTTTCTTGTGCATACACAGCCACTCACGGGTTCATGAAGAAAATGGAAGAGTTCTTGAGGTTTTTGGAAGTGAAAGGAAACTTGAATGATTTTGGTGAGGGAGAATGGCCTTAGGCCGAGATTAAGAAGAAAGAGAGAGGGAAGAGAGAGTAGTGTGATGGAATGGTTGCATGGATATTTGTGATGTCATGGGTATTTGTGGGATAATTTGCATGGATATCCTCCATGCAAAGATGAGTTGTCATGCTTAGAATATTCAACATTTCCCCTTTTTTTTGTCAAATTTATGGGCCAAACATGTGGGCTAAAAAAAATGAAGATGGAGGGATCTTTGGGCCCATCCTTGGCCTTGTTCGAATTCATGAAGTTTAAGAATATTTTTCGGCCCATTGGGCCCCTTGTTAAGGTTCTCGGCCCAATGAAGCCCAATTAAAGAGTTTACGGCCCATTAGGGCAAATGAAATCTTTTATGGCCCAACAAGGCCCATTAGAGATAAGATGGATTATTTTAGGCCCACATGGCCCAAAATGCTAAAGTTTTATGAATGTGGTCTATTTAGAGCCCAATTAGGGTTCCTAGGCCCAAAGTGATCAAGTTGAAAGTTTATTGGTCCATCAGGCCCAATAAGAGAATCCTAGTTCATAATGAACTTGAACCAGGATTTCTAGGGTTTTCAACCCATAGTTGAACATATGAGGTGTATTGAATTAGGTCTTGAACCTCTTGAGTGATTTTTGATTTCAAATGGATGATTTTGATTGAGCATAGAGTATAGTATTCACTTAGAGTACAAGTTATTACACTAGGTGAATGATTGCATGAGAGTAGAATCTCCTAGCAAAAATGCTAGTTGTGACAAACAATCACTCGATCTAAAATTCGAGTTTTTAGCTGTCTACTGCTATCCCGAAATTTAGAAAAATCATAACTTTCTCATACGAAGTCAGATTTGGGCGTTCTTTTTATCAAAATTCCCGGTTTAACAAATACTATGACTTTCGTTTAGATCACCAAGGCTAAAAAGTAGTTTATCAAAAACTCACTTTTTACGTCATTCGGCGCCGTGCCGGTTTTGTCGCGGATCTTCGATTGGTCATAACTTATTCGTTATAACTCGGATTTTTCGATGAGGTTTTCGTCTAAATGTTTCTAACGAGATTCTTTACAACTTTCAATAATAAAATTTTACTTATTTCAAATTTTATATTTTTGTTAAATTTTCAATATTTGACTTTTGATTGGAATCTCATAAGACTTTCAATATTTTCCGAGCGATTGTAAACATAATTTTACTTCATTTCTAGTAAAAACTATCCGTTAGAACTCAATGCTCATAATTATATAATATTTCATAATATTATTCACTTTTAAAATTACATAACACGATAACCGAACGTGTATATTACAAAAAAATGTTGTTTTTTGTATAAAAAATGCAGTTTTTATTTTTTTTTTTAAAATTGCAGTTTTTTTAAAAAAATATTTTTTTTCAATTAAAAAATGAAAAACTCTCCATTTTTTTAAAAAAATCGAAAATTATTTTTTTTTTAAAAAAATCCGAAATTTGATTTATTATGTTAATTTTTAGAACTTTTTATTAATATTTCCAATAACAAAAAGAAATTAAACATTAAATGAGATCGGTAAGATGACGATCATGCCCTTAACGAATTAATTTTGATCTAACGCTCCACATTTAGTTTTCAGGTTCTCGGAAAACTAAGAGTTCTCACGGATCTCAACTCTATATATATATATATATATATATATATATATATATATATATATATATATATATATATATATATATATATATATATATATATATTTGTATGTTATCTATATTTGTATTTTAACTATAATTTTATAAAACATTAAATTATATCAAAATTTATAAATCTTTTCTCTACAAATGAAAGACCAATATTGATATATCTATAAAAAAATATAAATAATTTCTAAATTTTAAAATAAATATGTTACTTGTATTTTTATAGAATAAAAAAAGTTATAGATTCTATTTAAAATAGAATAAACATAATAACAAATTATATTTATATAGCAAAAGGTTGGGTTGGTTTTAGTTGCTAATATGTGTGAAATTTTTGGTTTTAATGGGTTTATATGAACGGACGAGAGAGAAAATAGTTTTTAATAGATAGTTTGGTTGAATTCGATTGCTGGCCATGGGAGTAGTATTAAAGAAAACTTGTAAATTTTAGGTCAAGAATTCATGAATAAACTCAACTCAGCAAGTCGCAAGCTCAATATATTTTTCATGAGGTTTAAAAAATCTCAAAACTGGCTGAGCTAAATATAATTTTAAAATATAAACAAAATAAGGTGCATCACTAAAATGTACTGTATGACTTTTTAAACACTATGGTAAGTTGCTAACACTATGGCTCTGTTCTCAATGAAGAAAATGAGAGGAAAATGAAGGAAACGGGTGTTCTTGATTTTTTATTTTTAGGGAAGGAGAAAGAAGAAAATGAGGGGAACATATGCAACATATTATCCAAACAAACAGGAATGGAAACGCCCATTAATTGTTAACATCATTTGCTGCATATGTTTTAATAGAAATCCCATATCGTCATCTTACATTTTGAATATTGGATGTATTTTATGATTAAAAAAAAGTGCAATTCCTAATTTCTAGAATATTTTGTTGTTATAGAAGATGATGAATGTAATTTAAAGTTTAAAAAGCTTATGGAATATGAAATTTCTTTTTAGAAACCTATCGGATCATTCTTCTAAATGCTCAGGATCATTCTTCTAAATGCTTTTATGTTATTTTATATTTCTCATCTATTTTATCATCAGCTAGTTTTTACCAATCATAATAATTTTTTATCCGCTACTTGATCAACTAGTTTTTACCCTAGATATTTTTTTCAACTACCTCATGAACTAGTTTTTACCCTAAACTACCAGCTAATTTGTCAAACATAACTTGAATGAAAATGCGCTACATAAAACCCTATTTTCAAAAGTCTTTAGATGAAAATGAATAGACAAACATCTTACATAAAAGTTGAACACTAATTACTTGATAATTTTTTAGCGTTTTAAGAAATTGTTACAAAAAAATTAGGATGCAACTAAATCGGGTGTTTCTGCTTCCACGGATATCAAAGCAGTGTGTACTTTCCCAACCCAATTGTCCAACCGATCACGCAAAGACTTAATCTGAGCCACCCCCAAAACTCGCGGTTGCACCCACGACACATAAACCGTCCCATCAACTTGATCAATTATCCCCTCGATTAAATGCACCTACAATCCAATCCAATCATAGTAAATGACTATTTTACCCTTCTCCTTCTATGGAATTCAACCACATAATCTTGCATTTAAATTTAAAACATTGTAAAGTGCATGATAATAATATTACACAAAAATTGCAAAAGTGGTTGTCAAAATTATGTGGTTTTGGTCCAAAAATATTTGGTGGTCCAATTTTGGATACCTTGTACATTAACTTTTTTAAATTGACAATTTTACCCTCAGGGACCATTTCTGCCTCTCTTCTTTTTTATTTTATGGGAAAAATGCAGAAAAGTCTCATTATTTTGATAAAGTCCTAAAAAAAATTCAGAGTATTTAATATTTTGCCCAAATTAACGAAAAAGTACCTATTTTTATCTTAATAGGAAACGACAGATTATCGTGTAAAATTTAACAATCGGGACTTTTCTGTTCAAAAAAAGAAATTAGGACTATCAAAAATTTTCCAAAAATAATTGGACTTTTCTGCATATTTCCCTAATTTTATTCAATTATGATACATTAATTCTTTTATTGGATTATTATAATATTATTTTTAATAAAAAAGAATTAATGTATAATAATCGATTAAAAATTAAAAAGAAGAGACGCAGAACTGGTCCCCGAGGGTAAATTTGTCATTTTAAAAAAGTTAACTGTTAAAATTAACGTTTTTGGACCAAAAAAACACACAAGGTATCCAAAACTGGACCATCAAACATTTTTGGACCAAAACCACATAATTTTGACAACCACAGGGACCATTTTTGTAATTTTGTCATAGTATTATTAAAAATTAAAAAAAAAAAACTTACAGATAAACTTTTCATGAGAAGGTATTCCACATCTTCAACCGTGAGTTTTGTCCGCTCTGCAATCACACTCAATGGAATTGTCCTGTCTTCAGAGGGCCGACTGCAAACAAAGAAAACATATTAATTAAGGCATTGTACTTTTAATTTTTTTTATTAGTATTAATAATAATAATAATAAAATTGGAAAAATAATAATAATAATAATAACCTGAAGATAATTTCCATCAAACAGAGAATGTTGATCTTTTCTAGAAGCTTCTTCTCGTTTTCCACTAAAGCAGGCTGAGCATTAAGTGAAGCTGAATGAACACGACATAGTTCTTGATAGCGAACTAAATCTCCTGAATTGAATGCTTCTAGAATGTGGTAAAGCCATTCCACTTTTGTCCCTAGCAGACTTTTTATCTGCAATGTTCCATTTATACCACAAAAAGGGTAAAATCGTCATTTGTCTTTGTTTGTTCATTTCATACAGTCCAAAAAAGAAACAGTTTTTACTCGTATAGCACTTTTCATTTATCAATTCAGAACTTTCCATAGAGGTTGGTTCTTTTTGACTTGATGCATAAAAGACTAAAGGGTAAAATGGTCATTTACTCTCATTCAGACACTTCTTTTTGACTTGATACATAAAAGACAAAAGGGTAAAATGGTCATTTACTCTTATTCAGACACTTCTTCTCATACAGTCCAAAAAAGAAACAGTTTTTATTCATATACACGTCATTTATCCATTCAGCACTTTATTATCCATAATTCCATATAGATTGGTTTTTTTTGACTTGATGCATAAAAAACAACCAAATATATAAAGTAAGAGAAATAACACTTTCTCCACTGAACCCTATATTTTTACAAATTTGCCCTTCTTTATTTTTTTTTTCCATTTCCCCAAGTGTGACATCAGTTTCTTTTCAAGATTATTTGTGTTTATTCTTGAGTCTTGACTTGAATAAAATTTCTAAAATTTTTTGGAAGTACAATATATGTTAGCAAGTTACAATATATGTTAGCTTTTTGGATAACAAGAATACAAAATTTAACATGGGGTAATATAATAAATAAGAATACTTCACAAAATAGATATGGTTTTTGAGGAAAATCAAGTGAGATTAGATGTAAATATGTTCACATAGAGGAAGATGATGAAATATACTTACAACTGGATGTGCAAGTAGTTCTCCAAAGTTGTAAATGTTGTCTCCCAACAATGCAGATAGTGATAGATCAAATGCAAGATCCTAAAAACACAAAATGTAAAGAGCTTTCCACTTAATTGTCTAAGTAAGACTTAAGACTTATATTTCTATGAACATAAAATCAAAACATACCAGTTTAAACGAATCAGATAGAGCCTCAACTGATGTATATGCCAAATAAAGTAAAGAATTCTTGTAAAACTCAGCAAACTCCTGGCGAGATTTATGGTATTGAGATGACACCCAAAAGTAGTTTGCATACACAGAAGGGTCAATGTCAGTCATGCTATCAAGTGTACTCTTCCCATCTTCTAGAAGATTCTTGCACTCCTTTTGATCTCCTTTTTCAAGGTTAAAGATGGCTATCTGCATCTTTATGTAAAGGATTGGCTCCTCTATGCGCATCTCTTTTGTAGCTCTGAGCTTTTCAATCACTCCTTCCAGATAGCTTATGGCAGCTTCTTTCTCTGAATATTGCCTAGAGACTATAACAGCAAAATGTGCAAGTTTAAGAAGGTTGATCTTTGTCTCAAAATCAGTGATGAAGTGGTGGTATAGTTGTATGAGAGCATCACCAGCCTGAGATGTAAAAAGGAAAGGTGTTTCATGAGCATAAATGTGAAAAATAAATAACTTTTTTTTATATATTTTGAGTCTTTGAGCAACTAGCAAAAAGATGATGTGGTTTAGTTGTATCTAATGTAGAACTAATTAGAAGTTTAGAACTCATTAACATGATCCCACTATGTAGAAGTAACAGCAATATAAGGCTGAACTTTCAAGTACTTGTCTCTTTTATTGGCTTGGATTAGACCTATTTATTGCATTCTTTACATAATCTTACCCTCAGTTGTTAGTTTGGAATGATTTAATCCTGGCTTTAGGAATCATGCATTTGTATCGTTTGATTGCAACACAGATTTAATTCGAAACTTCTTCTGTTAGAAGTTTATTTCCAAAGTATGATCAAGTTATCAAGTTCACATCTAAACTCGTACAATTCATACAATTCACACAATTCATAGCAAGTATACTAGTATAGTGCCAAAAAATTAGAATATTGGACACCAAAATTTATGAGTTTATAGAGACAAAAACAAACCGGTAACCTGGATCTCCAACCTACTTTTTCGTCAATTCTCCAAAATCGAAAACAAATAAATCAAATTTAAACCTCGAGTGTCGGAAAACGAAGAGTCAAGAAGCTCCATTTGAAAATCAAACTAGCATGAATATAGGGACAAGATAGGGAGAAATGACCTGGAAAACAGCGAGAGCAACGAATTGTTCAAGCTTGAGAGTGAGTTGGTGCCATAGCTTCCTTTGGTACAGATCGGCAAGCGTATTATACCAATCGGAGAGCTCTGGATGAGTAGTACGAAGAGAATCTAGGTACTGAAGAGCTGTCATGGCTGAATAATGTCCAAACTGTTGTCCGAGAGAGGATTGGGAAGAAGAAGAATGGGGTTGCTTGGGGATTTGTATATAAAACCCTTGTTGATGTCGTCGACTCGTCGGAGTTTTCTTTTCCCCAAAGAAACGAATGATTGTGATTTGGGAATGAATCTGATACATTTTAAGCATTTGATTTAAACCCGACCCACTTTCTACAAAACGGGTCTCCTTTTTTAATTTTAATTATTTTCATTTTCTCATTTCAAGAAAGAAAAAAAATTGATATATTAAATTTGGAGAAATTAACGCCCCGTTTGATAGACATATTTTTAGTTCAAAACAGATCTTTCTGACTGAATGGACCGAAAAGATTGTTTGATATGCACAAAAAAATGGGTTTTTCCCGGTAAGATATGTCTTTTAAATAATTTTTTGAATTTTTTATTAGATTATTATATATTAATAAATATTATGTTTAATATATAATATTTATGTATTAATTAATATTATTTTATTAGATTATTAATTTCTTTTAAATAATTCTTTTTTATTTCCTTTTTATTGATTAATTTTTTTTATTAGATTATTATATATTAATAAATATTATTTATAACTATAAAATATTTATATATTAATAAATATTACTATATTGGATTATTAATTTCTTTTAGTTAATTTTTTTTAATTCATTTTTATTGGATTAATCATTTTTATAGACAACACCACCATTATCCTAATATATTTTAAATGATTATTGTGTAATTTTGATTTTGTATGACAATTTATATGTTTTTATACTTATTCAGCAACTTCATCCATCACAATATAGAAAAGCAGGGTAATATTTTCATTTTTCATCATTCAGCTCAGTCAATCAGATGTATAATCAAATAACATGGTTTCTTTCACAGTCAGAAAACTTTCCCATACAACACTTTCCCAGAAAGCACTTTCCCGGACAGAAACTATCAAACTGGACCTAAATATTCTTCTATTTTTTGTTCCTATTATTTTTCTATTTATTTTAGATGGTGACAAGTGTCATTAAATTTAATTTAATTTGATTAAGATGTTAAATTTGTACACGTGTCATCATCTTAAATAGGTATGAATAAAAGTAGGAACAAATATTAGGAAGATATTTAATTTATGTTAAATTTGTGTTGACAAATTAGATTTGTTGTTTAACATATTAAGACGGATGATTGCGTTTCTCCTTTACTGAATCTAACGTTTCTGGTCTATTAGATGTAATTCAATTAAACGTCCCGAAAATTAAGAATAAAATTTTTTAATTTTAAAGTAATAAAACCATTATTTAAAACAATATCATAAAAACCATAGTGAATCAGAGTATATCCATAAACATCCGAGTACATCAAAGTCATGTAATATGCGGAACAATGTGTGTGTGCAATGCAGTCATCCCGAGCTCTTCCCTTTTGAAACAAATATACCTGAAACATAAACTAAAATCGTAAGCACAAAGCTTAGTGAGTTCCCCAAAATACCACATATCATACATATAAAACAGATAATGGGCCCCGGCCGGCATCGAGCCCCGCTTGGTAAACAGATTTCTCAGTCATCAGGCCCCGCCTGGCATCGGGCCTCGCCCGGTATACATATAACATATAAACACATGCATAAAAATCACAAAGATAAATAGCATATATACAATACAATCATCAGGCCCCTCCCGGTAATCATATAAACACATAAACACATACAATAGTCACGCAGACAACTAGCATTCTAAACATAACAAACCATGGGTCGGCATTGGTGCCTTCGACCCGCTAAACATAGTGAGAAAACTCACCTTAAGCCGTTGAATCTCTCAGATAACATCTCGGAATGTTGATCCGGCAAATCACCGCGCTAACATCATCAAATAATATCCAATTAATAATTAGATCTCAACCCATAATCAAGAATTTGAATTACTTGACCAATATCTATGGTAAAAGACCATTTTACCCTTTTCTTACATGGCCCAAAACCAAGGCCCAACCCATTTTCTCAAAAAGCCCAATTTCCTAAATGGCATCTCAATGCCCAATATGGCCCAACTTCCTAATTGGCCCCAAAAACCATCATGAACCTAATTCCAAGAAAGTCCATAGTTTATTCATGGCCCAAATTCAGAAGTCTAATGGCCCAACAAGGCCCAAACCCTAAAATGCCCAAAATGGACACTCTGGAGAGTACGCCCTGCGTACCAGAAACGTACGCCACACGTACTCACCCCCGAAGCACCACGTACAAGCTGACGATGCATAAAACCAACATTACGCTGAGCGTACTCCTACGTACGCCCAACATACTCACCAGAGGCCCAAAAATCCCTATTAAGCTCTTATTGGGTTAAGTCAAGTCGTCCAAACACAGATATGATCCCTAGATAAGGTCTTAAACCATAAAGTTGCCAACTTTATTCCCTTGCATGCCTTAATGGGACCCAAAACCCATTTTTATCCTTCTAAACCCATATTATAAACACCAACTTAATCATGACTCACCCAAACCCATCAAGATGATATTTGTATGCACCCACAATCTCGGAAGTGCTAAGATCCAACATTCTAAGCTCTTGTAGTAGCTCATACTCACAAGGATGACTCTAAGGACCAAAATAAACCCAAAACATACTCTAGACTAGATCTAACACATAGAGTCATCAAGTTAGAAACTTTATACCTCCTGGAAGTTGATGAAGATGAATAGAGCTTGGATCCGCTCCAAGCCAAGCAATGCTTCCAACAAGAACTCCTTCTTCTCCAAGGTACACCAAAATCACACCAAAAAACTCAAAATTCTCAAATGGGAGCTAGGGTTTCAAATCTAGGGTTTAATGGGATGGAGGCTAAAGATAAAGGGGATTGGAGTTTAGTTAAGATCATTAAATAGGGTCCAAGACCCTAAATTTCGGTTTACATGAGGTTGGAGTATGCCCTGCGTACTCTCAGTACGCCCAACGTACTCCATGAGGTGCACACGATCCTCCTACCTAGTACGCCCAACGTACTCCCCCGCATACTAGGCTTCGCCTTAAAGCCACCAACTTTCGAACGCCAAAACATTTTCGTTCTAATTCTGATTTTGACGATCCTTATATCCACGAAAAGGTAATGAAAAGCTCTACCCTTTTATCAACTCCCCCATGCCATAAAACTTTCCGAACTAAAATCCAAAATTCATAAAAGGCCCGAACTGCCACTTTACTGATATACCCTTGGACTCCAAAACACAAACTGAACTCCCAGATCATCTAACCTACATTATCCACACTCAAAAAGGGGGGGGGGTCTAGGTCTCTTTGCTAAATTCCCTAAGCCTTACGATAACCTGTCTTCGGGTCACGACCTCGAATTCGGAAACAATTCGAAATAGGGTGTTACAACTCTCTCCCACTTAAATTAGATTTCATACTCGAAATCATTCCTTACTACTTACTTCGCCGCTATACGATCCTGCCCAAACTTCCTGAATTCTGATTAAGACTGAAGATTCATCCCATTCCAACGACCGCCTCCTAAACCTGCCATCCAAGCCCCATCTTGGCATAAATTGCTTATACCTCTGAAAGAACGAACCTTAACACTCTACCCTCAGCCCCAAAGAAGGAAACCTAGCTGCCCTGCCTGAGAATTGAAACAACTACCTTACTCTTGCCAACTGGAGGACCTCATAACACAACGATAACCACCCAAAACAGGAACTTCCCAAAAACATGGGCCCATCAATTTAATCCCCAAAATATTACTCCCTAGGACTACTGATCATTCATTCATCGCACCCACCCTCTAGTCCCTGACTAGGAATACCATTCCACTATGCAGAAAGAAGGCTTAAAATATACTGATAGTGAATTACACCAAATTCGTAATTCGGAGGTTGCGCCTAACAAGCTAAAATATGTGCTTTACTTCCTGACAAGTCATCACCAACCTGTTGATCCCACGAGCATAAGGATGGTCAATCCGAAAATTCTCATGTTGCATCCAAATCCCATGTCAGCTCAGGTGTACCCCTGCTGACGAATCGCTCGAGACATTCATAATGGATTTCATGGTTTAGGATTCCATAACCGATGCCCAACATTGGTAACCGAACTCCTGATAGCCAGCCCTCAAGCTTCCAAAGTTCATAATGCAAACAATCTGCAAGCGGCTACTAGTGCACAACCATTATTCCTAACAATCTTTAACTGCCCACATGATCCAAATCAGCTGGTCCCGGAATCTCCCGACTCCCATAATGCACTAACATCCCAATAAGCCAGGTAAGCTAACGATCTGAGACCTAAAAGTCTCAATCAAAAGACTATCAGATCTTTATCCATATTAATCACACAACTACTGGTTCACGATACATTGTGACACCTGCTATCCACTAAACGATAAGTTCACAATACTAAATCGACCTTGTCGTCATCACATACATAGCCTGAAGACTCGCGACCAACGCCACAGGGACTTAAAGATACCCAACCATCAGTCCACCGACTTGTAGGGACCCAAACAACATCCCTCTCAATTGTTATCCGAACACAACATAGACCATACCCATCTATCACACACAATTCCTTTCACAGCACAGACTGATATCAACGCAAAACTAGACGAACCTCAACCGTTAACAGAAACATCCTCAAGAACGATCGATACAAGATCTCATACCTTGATTGAAACCGAACAGATTCCACCAATACGTAACTAGCTCGAGAAACCTCCCAAGAAGATTTAGAAATAATGTCAAAACCTGAGCCTGCTATGCACCAAAATGCCATACCATAATTGAGGGTAAACATACCTAGAAACCAAAGAAAATATAAAACACATGGAACTTGATGATAGGTTGACGCATCCATTGAACTTCAACTGACACAACTTGAAACTTTCGAAGAACCTCTACTTTTCATGATGAACGAAAAGACCAACAATCGAGAATGCATTGACAACTAACCCAATAACCCAATACACTACTTGCACAAAACCCATGTGAGATTAAACACACCAAACTCTGAAGCTCACTTACCGATCCATACTTCTTACCCTAGAACATGGATAGCAATCTATACAATGAGTTGAGGAATTCCTTCAGCACTCAATGCTCATCTTGAGCGTCCCAACGCCTCTCGATCAATTCAACGACATTCTGAAAGGAACCACTAGCTA